AGTAAAAAAACACTGCGGCTTCTTGAAAAATGGTAGGGCACCAGGCCCAGGAGAAATATATGGAGAACTGATAAAGTGTGGGACCAATAAACTCTACAAACATTTAACAAAACTATTTCAAACATGCATAGATAAACATGAAGTACCGGAAGAGTGGAAAATAAGCTATTTAACAACGATATATAAGAAAGGAGACAGAAACAAATGCGAGAACCACCAAGGAATTGCAGTAACAAATACGCTGAGCAGAGTGTATGGAAAACTTATAAAAGCCAGAATAGAGAACGAGTATAAAGATAGTGAGGCAGAAGAACAGGCCGGTTTTAGAGCAGGAAGATCAACTGTAGAACATTTATTCAGTTTGACCCAGGTAATGGAAAAAAAATTAGCGTACAACCAAGAACTCCATTTACTTTTTGTAGATCTAAAGAAAGCATACGATAATGTTCTGCTGAAAAAGCTTTGGGAAGCACTGGAAAAGACCAATGTCAACTTAGAACTAATAAAGAACTAAAGAAGAAACTTAATCAGTAAAGGCTTTATAGCAACTAAAGGACTTGAACAGGGATGCTGCATATCACCAACACTTTTAAAATATACTTAGAACAAGCGCTTAAAGGGTGGAAAAACAAATGCAGATACATGGGGATACCACTCAATGAATACAATCAATATACTTTAAGCTTTGCAGATGATCAAGTATTAATTGCACAAGACTATGATAACACGAAAATTGATAGAGGAATACGAGAAATGGGGTTTGGAAGTGAATCTAAGAAAAACAGAATATATGACTATAGGAGGTGAACAACGAACTCTGAAATTGATTAACGGACAAGAAATAAAACAATGTACTGAATACAAATATTTGGGCATGAAAATCTCACATGAGGGAACCCTAGACGAAGCAATTAAAGATCGGAATATACAAGGAAGCAAGGCAATATCCCTACTAAATGATGTAGGTACTGTGGGACCAAAATATCAACAAAACTAGAATATACAACACCCTAGTCAAAAGCATAGTCACGTATAGTTCTGAAGTCTGGCCACTAAAGATCAGAACCGCAAAAATGCTGGAAGCAACTGGAATGGACTTTTGAAGGAGATCGGCAGGCAGGTCAAAAATGGAAAGGATAACAAATCTGAGAATTAGGGAGATTATGGACGTAAAACACTCAATAATAGATGATATAAAGGACAAACAGCTGATTTGGTTCGGACATGTACAAAGAATGGCAGATACAAGAATACCCAAGCAAATAATCGAGTGGAAGCCAGGGGAAAGAAGAAGACGCGGCAGACCAAGAAGAAGCTGGAGAAGTGGAGTAGACGAGGAAATGAAAGACAGAGGCTTAGAAGAGGATGCCTGGATTGACAGAGATGGTTGGAGATCGGGAATCGGAAGACGTAGAACGTTATAAACCGATAATTATATAAAGGTATATACACTGTGGGCCAAATTTATTTGGAACCCAATTTGACTCTGAATAACTTTGTTTTAATTTGGCGGATTTTTGTGAAATTTTGTGTGAATATTAGGGGGGCCTTTCCTTAATTGTAGAAAAAATATCTGATCAGAATGTACAGGGGGAGCCAAGTAAGAAGCAGTATTTCTAATCATTGCCTTTGGGGCTGTTGCAAAATTATTTTTGTTTACTCTAAAATTGCATAAATTATCTGAAAATATCAGGAAATTATCGGAAAAAAGGCTACGAAAAAATGTTTCGAAAAACTTCAGGTTTTGTATTAAAAACGTATTTTTTTCGAAAAAATTGTTAAATAATATAACCATGCAGCGTAATAGGGTTTTATTAAATAACAAATTAACAGTAGGGGAAAAAATTAAAAAAAAGATTTTTCAATAATTTTACAAAAACCTATTGTGAATATGACCTCCCTGATTACCGACAACAGCTTTAAGTCTTCGACGCCATTGTCCAATTGACTTATTTATAATTTGTTGATTATAATAATGCCAACAGTAAACGATTCTCTCTTTGAGCTGATCAATAGTATTGATTTGAGTATTCTCATAAGCTTTTTCCTCTAATGTTCCCCAAATGTTATAGTCCACGGGCATATTTGTCTCCAAGCTATTTGTAGGCCACATGTTTAGCTCAATAAAGTCAGGACAATTTTCCTGCAGGTATCTCAAAGTACTTCCTGACGTATGGCTTGGTGCGCCATCTTGCTGGAATGTGTAGTTACCGCTAATTGTTTCTATTTGTCGAAGCATATTTTGTAAAATATCCCGTTGATAGATTTCGGAGTTAATTTTTACTCCAGAGTCAATAAAATAAATTTCAGTTTTTCCTAGCATCGATACAGCCAAAGAAACCATAACTGATTTCGAAAAATGATCCCTGGGAACCAGAAGATGCTCCAGTGGATTTTCTTTGTACATTAGAATATACCCTGTTGTTTTGAGGATTTTTTGGTAGGCGCAATGAAAAAACTTTTTCATCGGAGAACCAAATTGTTCAAACATCTTCGCGTCGTCTGCATCTTCTTAACAATGCTTGACATCTTTCTACTCTTTTATTCTTAACATCCTTTGAAAATTTGTGACAGTATATTTTTTTAAACGGTCGATACTTTAAATCAATTTTAATAATTCTTCTTACCGATGATCTTTTAATAGTAGTAGTTTTTGCTATTTTCCTTGAACTTACTGTATTACTGGGTTCGACAGCATCAAGAATTGTCCTTACTCTTTCAATGTTTTCGATACCTCTACCAGTTTTCTTTCTTCCTCTTCCAGGCTTCATTGGTAATGAACCATTAGTCTCAAGTAAATGTCTTGGAAAATAACTAACGGTACTTAACTTCCAATTACGCTCTGGGTAACATTTAATAATCTTTTTTGCGCCATAACCTTCGACTCTTAGAGGTTTAATCAAAATTTTATCCTCGAATGATAAATATGAGTATACCATTTTGAAGTAAATTTATAAACTGACAAGTTACTAATATTTACATACTGTTGATACAACAGCTTTTACAACGGTGGTACTGAAATGTAAAATCGAAACGAAAATGCGGATGGAAGTGACGTCATCAACATTACGGATGTATTGCTCCCTCTCTCTCTCTCCTATTTCCTTTCTTTCATCATCAGAAATAATTTCTTTCTGCTCTTGGGAATGAGATGTCTGAGCGCGTCACCAACGTTGCTCTTCGAAAAGTTTAACTTCTGTAGTGTGGCCCGAGTGCCCTCTCTTCTTTTTTCATAGGTAATTCGATGTTAACAGTGTTTCTGTTTTGTTATTTAATAAAACCCTATTACGCTGTATGGTAGTATTATTTAACAATGTTTTCGGAAAAAAAAACGTTTTTAATACAAAACTTGAAGTTTTTCGAAGCATTTTTTCATAGCCTCTTTTCCGATAATTTCCTGATATTTTCGAATAATTTATGCAGTTTTAGAGTAAAAAAATTAATTTTGCAACAGCCCCAAAGGCAATGATTAAAAATACTCCTTCTTACTTGGCTCCCCCTGTACATTTCGATCAGATATTTTTTCTACAATTAAAAAAAGGCCCTCCTAATATTCAGACAAAATTTCACAAAAATCCGGCAAGTTAAAAAAAAAGTTATTCAGATCCAAATTGGGTTCCAAATAAATTTGGCCCACAGTGTATATGATTATACTCATCCTGGACTAATACAATCTTTCGAAAAGGGCTCATTTGGAATCAAACGTACGGATAAACCTTTCTCGAGACAACCAATTGATTTGACGCTAGAGCAGACAATCAACGCGGATGCAGCCAATAAATTAACAGGCATATTACACTTTACGAATTCAATATCAGCCCGACAACGTTGGTGTAAATGCCCCAGTATAAGATCTGCAATAATTTCTGATGTTCTGGAACAAACCGGTCTAACTAAACACCAAGATATCACTGCTGATTTGAAAAGTAATCGAATTAAAAAAAATACGGCACAGCTGAGGAAATTTATGGATGGTATTATTCAGGGCATGGATCCTTTTGATTCAAATCACAATACGCAAAATCTGTACATTTCTAATGGACAAGCAGCATGTGTTTCCATAGTTGAATTTCTCTTACAAATTGGAACCTTTGCAAATAACTTACGTGAAATTTTTTTATCGGAATGTCAAGAAGACCATCACCGATTTGAAAAGCCTATAAAACAAAATAAAATTCTCACATTAACGAATACATTTAAAAAGAAAAAAAAATACTGTGCATGGCAAAGAGCAAGAAATACTTCTACAACGTGACCTATTTGGGCGCTTTCTTGCTGTTTCTCTTGAAGAAAAAATTAACATTGAAAAAGTACTGTCGTTCCCACTAACGCCAGTACCATTGTCTTTATGCCATTTGGACGGAAGCATTTGTAAAACCAACAAATCAGTGTTACAAAAATGTTTGGTAGGTGAAGTGGATGAGGACATACTTCCAGCTCATTTAGACATTGTTCTTATTGATGGTTTCTTCATGATGCACCAAATGAAAGATTTACCGCAAACTTTTGGCAATCTCTCAAAACAAATACTGAGAATTACCGTTCAACGAAACGCAAGGGAGATAGCCTTGATTTTCGATCGCTATACCTCGCCTCCCATCAAGGATTATGAACACACTCTACGTGACACTGCGGTGAAACGTGATTATCACATTACAGGAACAGAACAGTGCAGACCAGCGGATTTTTCAAAAGAATTACGAAACATTAAATTTAAAGGGAGTTTAATGAAATTTTTGATCACGCATTGGGCTAAGGATACAATGGCACCATTTTTTGAGAATAAAACGGTATAGTTGAATTTTGATCAATGTTACAAATTTGAAGTTCATGATGGCCAAGTTAGCAAGTCTATTGATGATACCTTCACCTACAAGTCGCATGAAGAGGCCAACACAAACATTATACAACATATTTGCAACATCGGTTATGATGCAAACATTTCCATTCGTTGTTCGGACACCGACATACTTGTCATTATGCTTGCGAATTTCACGAATATGATAAGTGCTTCGAATGTTTGGATGCAACACGGTGTCGGAAATAATTTGAAAACTATGAATTTCAATCAACTATACTCCAAATTAGGACAATGGCTGTGTACTGCTCTTCCCGGCTTTCACGCATTTACAGGTTGCGATTACAATCCAGCCTTATTCAGGAAAGGAAACAAGCGTCCATTCCATGTGCTGATGGCATCCAGAGAATATCAGGAAGCGTTCGAGAAACTTGCTGACTTAAAAGCTAATAGATACGAAAATGTTTTAAAACAAATAGAACAGTTTGTTTGCCGTTTCTACAGTTTGAAAAAAATAAATGAAGTTAATGGAGCACGTTTCACTTTGTTCCAAAACACTTATAATTTCAAAAATACTTCCGATTATTTTCGATTTACTAAAAAAAAATTTGATGGCTCGAGTTTACCACCTTGCAGAGCGGAGCTTAAAAAGCATTTATTGCGAGCTGCTTATATTTCAAATATTAGGAGGAATGCCCTTAAAAAAATCGCCACAGAATTAATTATCTTCATTGAACAATGGATGGTTGAAAGTCGATGGACACCTCGAGTTTGATTGGTTTGAAGGACAGCAATTGCCAACATTCATTAAATATGTCCTCATTCAGAATGACGAAAATGCGGGTAAGAAACTACAAATCTAATCCTAACTACATATTTAACATACTGTTTCATTTTCTGCATGACACTGGATGACCTGTTCGTTCCCAAAAAAAACTAATCGTTGAATTTATTCATTGTTGCGTGATTCGTTTATTTCAGGTCCCGAGGCAGATGTCGATGTCACTGACGAAGGCGACAAATTAGGAGAGGACGCCGAAGCGTCGTTAAACGATATCGAGGACGATGATAACGATCTATCTGATGATAGGGAAAACGAGTCTTTGGATGAATTCTGAGACTTATTTCATGATACAAAATGACTATTGAGAATATTTTTGTTGTCGCATTGTTTTCCTAGTTTTAAAAATATTAATGAAATCACTTTCGACTCATGTTGAAGAGTTCTTTTACATCTTTTTCCAACATTATTTGTCTTTATTTTTGTGACACATTATCCTCGCAATGGCTGCGTGTGCGACTGGTTCGTATATACAATATTGGAAATTGAATTGATTGCTGACTGGTTAAGTTCTATCAAATTGAAGTTTGACAATTATTTCTGATTATTGTATTGAATTAGATAATAACATACCAAATTTGAACCATCATGAAACAGTTTCAGTTACCTCTATTATACGACCGGAATATTGCCATGCTGACTATAGTTGTCCTAGCATAATGCTATCTGACCATGTCCGTCATGTTTTTTAATAAATAAACAATGGAATGACAGATTTTCAGCTTTCATGAAACTCTTTCATCGCGAATAATTTTCAACACATGCGAAGGTGCGTGGGCGTAGCTTGACCCGCTACCTCACTTGCTGACTGGAGTATAGTTATATACATCACAAATACAAGCTTATATTAAATTTTCAGCTTTCTTAAAACTCTTGCACTTTTTTGGCGCTGGCTCTCGTACTTTTCCAGTCTGAACAAAAATAGTCTTGAAACATGATGCTACTGGCTGTAGCGAACGTAAAATCAAATCATCTCTCACTACTTTGAAAATTTGTAAAGTAACCTAAAACCGTCCTTTCTTTTGATAAACACAGAAGTATATTTAACTATCTTCGTTCTGTCGCACTTATGATAATATCGATAATCATTGTACAGGGTCTTTTCTAATATTTTGACACCCACATAAAGTCTTCACCTTTACAGGTAGAAGAATGGTGTGAGTTTTAGCTGAACTTTCGGATGCTGATGTCAGATACATAAATTGAATGTCGGAAATGTGAAATTTAGCATATTTTTAACTTTTTTTTTTAAATAGAATGGCCTATATTTGGTACCATATTCTTGAAGAGCCCAATTTCCCGATTTCAAAAATGTAGAGTTTGCCTATATTTGGCGTTTGGTGGAGCCGTCTCTAGTATATTTGGCTCTAAAAATTGTAAAAATTCTATCAAAAAAACCTACTACTTCAAATTTTACTTGCAGCCTTCACCCTTACAGGTAGAATGGTTCTGAAAATCTAAGTCAGCAGGATAGTATTTTTACAATTTTTAGAGCCAAATATATAAGTGACTGCTCAACCAAATATAGGCAGACTATATTATATTTTTGTAATAGGAAAATTGTGGTCTTCAAGAAAATGAAAACAAATATACGCCATTTCATTTAAAAAAATTGTAAAAAGCAAAAATTGACATTACCGACATTCAATTATTCTTTCCGACGACAGATTCCGAAAGTTCAGCCAAAGCTCCACATTTTTTGTATTTATACCTGTGAAGGTAAAATGTCAAAATATGGAGAAACACCCTGTACTTCCATTATTGCTGAACTTCAAATTTGATTGATCAAAACTTGTCAGGAGCTTTCATTTTATTGTTTAAAATGGCCAAGAGGAACTACTCGGAAAAATAATTGACAATCATATTTTATCCGCCAATGAAGGACAGGGGAACCTGTTGCTAGAAAGAAACAAAAGCTTCCAAATGGACAAATAATTCATTACAATCTTTTATTACAATTGGTAATGTTGTGACAAACTTTTAAAGCATCATAAGTGAAAAATCGCGTTTAAGGCTATTTCAATGATCACTTATGTTAACCTCGTACCACAGCTTTTTGAAAATACACGACTTGGAAAACAAAGAAGAGCTCCATTCAAACCTGATCCCATTCCAGAATATAAACCGACCCAACGGAGATGTTCATAAACCACTAAGAAGTAAAAAAATGACGTTATTCGTATGCGCTGCTTCGCGAAATAAAGGCGCCAGCGTCTTAACTATTCCATAGCTATGTTTGGCTTCATTTTTAGTCGTATTATAAACAGATTTAGAATGAAGATCTGTGAAGTTCAAAGGAACTTTTCGTATATATTAATTAAAGTCGCATACCTTTGTATGTGCTTAATAATGCTTAGGTATAGGTATTAGAAATATAACTGGATAAGAGAAGGTTTTAGAGCAAATACTAAAAGTGAAATTCGTTACTAAACATACAGTATCTGCCGCATATCTAGCTTGTTGCCTTCCATTTTTTTCTGTAGATTTTTGCTGAAATTGGAATAAAGAGTTTAGGAACTATAGCCAAGCATTAGTTTAGGTTAGTGTATTGCTCGTTATCTGATTGGCTATAGCGAGAGAGGTTTTCACATCAATAATACGCGAACCGATAAACCGTTTTGACTAAAAGAAAATCCTATCTTTTTGAAATTAGCAATGCATTACCAAAAATAGCCATGGTCCTTTTTTTTATCAAAGCAAAAATATAGGAGAAGAAAGCTTTTTAAAAAGATTAATATTCTTTTAATATTCTCATACAGCTGCATGTTATCAGATTTTTATCTTACCTTCTGTCCTCACCAACTTCCTATTCAAATATAAGCTTTACCTCAAGCGTGCTGGGAGCAAATCTGTGTAGTATATCACAGAAATACGTGTTTAAGGTGAATTATCCAAATGCTCTATCATTTATTTGCTTAGAATTTAAATGAGCGTGCTCTGTTCCATACACCGGTGATGTCTCGAGATAATTTCTTGAGTACATATATCTGATTAGAATACCAATTAGAACTAAGTGAATCGTTGACTTAATATTTGATTTTCCTTTCGCGACACCATGGAACTATCTATGTATATACATTGTGAAAAAACCTTGAAAAATCAGTTAAATTTGGTATTTGCGAAAAACACTCGTACCCGTCGGAATTGTTTATGAATCATCCATGGGGCCCCACATGCGGTGCTGCCAGACGTAAATTTCGCAAAATCGCATTCCGTATTATTTATAACAATATTTCGCGAAAGGTAATAGAACACGAATAACTTTAATATTCTCCAAAGAAATTTTTTGTATTTATAAATTCAAACTCTTCGCCGGACTTCTGCCTAGGGCCATTCTTAGGCGAGTGCAGGTTGTGCAGGCACAAAGGCGGCCAAACTAAAAGGGCGGCCGCAGGCCGCAGTCAGAAACCATAAAATAGGTTTTTCTGCGTTTGACAAGAAACGACAACATTTTCGACTGGTTGACAGGCCACAAAACTCAATATTCTGGTATTTTAATTATGTTTCAATAATTGCTATGGAATCAGTGAATAAGACCGACGGCCGAGAATGTGTCACTTTTCCACCTAAACACACAATATACTATTTTTTTTATGGAAAATTAAATTTCTTACTTGAGGCATTTCACAGAGTCTTGGAAAGAATTTTTGGAATACGCATGTTTCATTTATCTACTTTCATTTTATATAATAATATTAATAATAATATTAATCTTTATTTGAAATTACATTGGATATTTACATAGGTATTTATAATACGAGTATTAAGGTTTTGGTTCATATTTGATTTGAGTGAATGATTTTTTGAAGTTATCTGTGTTTTACGGTATATCTCATACACATAGTTTTAGGCTTAAAATTAACGTTTTTGGGCGTGGCACCCGAAAGGAAGTTCGCCTGTGGCGAGCTTTTCGTCTAAAATATTTTTCGGGTTTGAACCGCTCCAGAACCGAAGTTCTTGCATCATTGGTCCCACGTAGCCGATTTCACAATAAGCAGCCCCAATTTAAATAAAATAATATTCACTAAAAAATGTAGTTGTTTTGAATAGGGGCGGCTTTTTCATGCCTGCACAAAGGCGGCAGAGGGGCTAGGACCGGCCCTGCTTCTGCCATTCTAGAAAAACCTCAATTAACAAAATATTTAATTTAAGTAGAATTACAACTGAATTTTAGGCAATTCTAGAAAAGTTGATAGGAATATGATATAGGTATTGAACAGGATAAAATATTTAGCAGATTCAGTTAGGATTTCCGTTCAATCTTTCTGTGTGGCTGGAACTAAAGCATTTGCAATATTTGCGTAAAAGCCGAGAATTTAAGCCTACAGCTGTTTATCAACATATTATATTTCAATCCGCCTTCTGCATAAACTTCTTTTACTGGGCTTAGGGATAGCATAATGTTTAGCTTATACATACATATAATATGTAACTGTATTGTCACAATAAGGCTAAACGTCCGCCAGGCTGTCAAGAATCGATGGCGAAGATACTAGAATCTAGCGAATTATTCTACTTCAATCTGGAAAATAAGATTATCGTGTGTATTCTAGATTTTACAGGAATAGATTTAGGGATATATAAGAAGGCCAGCATTGGTTAGTTAGTTAGTTTCAGTTCGAGTGTGATACGATTTAAATAGTGATTGAAAAGAGTTTAATTGTTGAGTTTGTTAATAAATTAATTAGTGTCAGAGTGTTTTGTTAAGTGGAATAAATTATTGCTGTGTTAATTGGACTTTGATTTTTGGAATAAGCGAAACGAACAACGAACCCAAGATTTCTGTCCGGCGATCCAAAGCCGCGACATTGGTGTCAAGAAGTGGGATATAAAGGACTGCAGTGTGAAATCCAATTACGGAAGTGCGGGGACACTAGTGTAGTATAAAAACTGAACACTAAGTGAACACTGGGACAGTTAGTGCAGTGCAAATAGTGACAATCACAAAAAGAGACTCAACCGATCGTGTGAATTACCCCGGAAGTGACTCTATACCCGATTTAGACTTTGATAGTGAATCTTCGAGTGAGTTCTAGAAAATTCTATTTGGAAACTAAGGGAGATATCGAATTTGTGACTTCGCCGACGTATTCGGAACATCAATCGTCATTCAGAAGAGGTTTTTCGAGGAGTTTCGGGAAAATTCTAGAACATTCTATTTGGAAACCAAGGGAGATATCGAAATTGTGACTTCACCGACGTGTTTGCTGTATCAATCGACATCTAGAAAAGAAGTTTCAGGAAAATTCCAGAACATTCTATTCTAGAATAAAGCAA